TGGCCACTTGATGTTTATGATTAAAAAATGTAGAATGAAACAAAATATTGTGTTCTTTTTTTAGATGAAGAGCAAGTTCGTAAAATTGATCATAATATCGTGGTCATTTTATGATCAGGATTACAAATGTAAAACTGACCACAATTATACAATTATTTTCAAGTAAATTTCAGTTTATTTTTAACTGATATGAATATAATCGGTCAATACACGATTAAGAGCAAAAATGCAAAGATGACCAAAATATTCCGGTCACTTGCGTACATATTTGTGTGTCTGTACGTATTTTTCAAGTAGGGTTACCACTTTCCATTCGGATGAGGTCGGGACACCAATGGCGTGTCTCTTTTATAAGTATATCACTTCATCGGATCTCGTCATAAATCAATTTACTTACCTCATTTATGTAATAATTTATAGTCTCACGTGCCGTTCAAAGGAAGCCGCCAGTTTTTAACGCTTCTTATTCCAGCGTCACCGTTCTACATACAAAACTGGTTCATGTTATTAAAATCGGGACATTTTGTCGTCCCTACTAGCTCGCGACAGATTAGGTACAGAGGCGTTGCTAGGTGCATAGAAAGTTCGGGGCTCAGGCCTATAGGTGTAGAAATTTTCGGCGTTTCGGTATGATATCGATGATAGTTTTCTATTCTGATTTTTCAAGACATCAACTGGGGATCAGGGGCACTATCAAGTAGAATCGGAGCACGAGCCCCCATGTGCCAGTCAGCGTCCAGCGACGCCTCTGAATATGTGACATTTATACCCGAAATCAGGACGTATGAAACAGCATTTGCAAGAAGAGTGCTAAAATCTTGTATAGGTAGTAATTATTTACAAAAGAAACAGTTATAACTTTTTTCTCACTATTGGTAACTGACAAGAAGTCTGCTTAGCTACTATTGACTTGCTCCACTTCCTCGTGTGATATATCGTTTTTGTTCAGTTTATTTTAGATCTGTCGACTGTGAGTAAAAGCAAAAAAAGTTTGATAACTTCACATAGGATGTTTTTGTTTCTGTTCCTTAGTGAAGGCTAAAAATTGTTTGGTTTATTTACAGAACAACAACAAAATCACATCCTCCTCGTATGATCTGTTGTGTCAAAAACTAGTGTTTGACCGAAGTTATAAATCAGTTTGTTTGAGGCGAATAATTGTTTGTATAGTATACTTAGATTTCTCATTTTCTACTTGCGTTTTTGTTGTTTACTAGCCATCTGTACAGTAGTGTAATTAGCACTTGAGTGTAGTAGTATGGTAAAGTTCTAATTCGAATTTTCCGAAATCCCGAAAAAAAAAGGTGCTCTGTTAGAATTAACACCAGTGATAAAGTGAAGTGTGAAAATATTGCACCTTTTTTTAGCAAGGTGGAGGGAGGAATACATAGAGAACATTGTACATTTGTGACTTTACGTATTAGTCCCCCCCTTCTCTCCCACACACAAACACTTTAAATTATTACAGGACATCGAATCTTGATAATAGAATTTTGAGAATGTGGCTTGGATGTTGAACCCCAGTTTTAAGCCTTTTCAGAACACGTAGTTTTATCTATTTTTGACCATGGTGTCGCTTAGTTACTGCGAATTACGTATGAGTTTGTTATGAATATTGGCGACCCTATTTTTCCACTGCCAACTAATCCTAGGAGGTGGAAGGAAGAGAATTTCGAGGTTTGTATGTGGTTAATAACGGAGACTAATTGTATGTATATACGTGTGCGCTGACTGCAGGTGATTACATACTCATAACTACGTACGATACGTCATGAGTCACGAGACGTACGTCATAGCGGCTTCGGTAAGTACACGCTAATGTATCTCGACAAGAAATATAAAAATAATTATACGAACTACAAAGCAAAATCTCGCTTTAAAGGTCATTGGTTGTTTAAGCATCACACTATACAGCTGAGCAGTGTAGGGGAATCTTGAATAATTTTATATTTGGAAAATAACTTGAAAAAATAACATCTATATAAATATAATAGTATTGTCTGTTGTATGTCCATATAACTACTTCGCAGGGTGTGGATGGGTTTTCACCAAAATTGGTTTGAAGTTGCATTAGTTCCATGCGGGAGTACATAGAAGTTTTCAGTTTTTCCATTTTGCGGTTTTATGGGCGTTTTTGCGGTCTTTACCACTACTTCGCCCCCTGTGGATGGATCTTCACTAACTTTGGCATGAAGGTTTGTTGGGTTCATGCCGAGATACATGCAAATTTGCGGTTTCACATTTTGTGTTTTGCAGTTTTTATGTGCATTTTTTTATATATTTACAATTACATATAAGGGAAGCAACTTTTTATGTTCTAAGATAACTTTTCATTAATCATGAACTTACATAACTTCCGTCCAGGAGACGGGTATTTCAGTTAGTTTCAAATAAGAACAGTTTAATTTCGTTTTTAATAACGCCCTGCCCTTAAAATACCACGAGATTGAAAAGCTGCTTCTAATCGACAGTATTGTTGCGTCAGCGAGGTCACGTGACTAGTATCACGCCACTTCTTTCTCGAACCTTCGTGAATTGTGTCGCTGAAGTTTCGTCGGAACGAATTTACGGAAAATTAAGTAACGACTGGAGGCGTAACAGTATATTTGCGTTTTGGGTGCAAATAATATAAGCATTATAGTAGCAAAGTGTTCAAGACTGTAAACATGGCATGAAGAGCATCATATATGATTGCGTTACAGGGCTGTAGGAAGCAGTAAGGCCAGTCAGGCCAAGGCCTAATCACTTTGTCATGGTATGTGTAGCTATAACTATTGTATTAATGCTTTCTTCTTTTAAATCAATATATTTCGTTGTTTGTATGCAGTATTTGTAGATAAAATGGCTGAAGATTTAATCTCCTAGCATTAAATTTTCAAAATTTCTGAGGGGCATGCCCCAGACCCCCCCCCCCCCTAGAAATGGCCTGACCACTCAAAAAAGGAGGGGAGGCGCTTCCTTAGGCAGTGTGTTAAGTTCTCTTCACTGTTCAAACAATTAAGATTTCTCCTGTAAATGTTTTACTTCGAAAAACGTATACAAATGAAACCTAGCTTATCTTAAACACATCGAAAAACATGAATTATTGGTAGAGGTTTCGTCCCTGATATTTTGAATATTCCATTATTATTATTATGTTATTATTAAAATGTTAAAAAGGCCTCTGAGTTACGAAAGTATAGTGTGGTTGGGCGGGGGTTAAATTCTAAACACTTTAAACAAATGTACTTGAGATCATATATACTTTAGTTAAATATAAGCTCAGATATATTTTATTGAGAATTGTGATAACTATTACAAATTATCTAAAATAATTTATCTAACCGGCTTCCTTCCCCGTGCTTAGTAGTTAGTATACCTGAACCCTAGGTGACTCTGACCTGGCCAGGATGAGGTGCCGTTCGGGTCCAAAATAGCAATATGTAGGTTTAGGCTCATTAGTTTAAAAGTTGATTGTCTGGCTGATTGTTTGTTTTCGGATATTCGTTCATAGTTACTCGAGAACTATCTGCGCTAGCTGTCTCTAACTTTGAAGTGAAAGACTAGTGAGAGAAGGCAGCTACTCAACACCGCACACCGCCTACTCTTGTTAGACCGCATAGTAGGATTTGACCGGCACTCTTATAACGCATCCATGAGCCCCCCGTCCCCATGATGTGAAGTGCGATTTATTATTTTATTTATTGCGGTAACGGGTCGCGAACCACGGATCCACAGTTCGGTATGCTAACCACTGAGCCGCGCTTGCCCGAATCAGATCTCCAGTATGCTAGCTGATTTTCAAGTATACCTTTCTTGTTTGAGTTTATTTGAGAATTTTTTTATAAACTTCAAAACGATTTTTATGTCAATTTCCAATGGTACGTCAAGGAGAGAGAGTGAAAAAAATTAACATTGGGAACTTATTTATAACAATGCGACACCTAGCGTTGTAACCAGGATATTTTGTTAATATGAATATAAGAAGTATGACATTCTCGTACAAAAATACCAATCCCACGCACCCATTAACCCTGAAAATCAGACAACTTAATCGCACGAAATGTAATAAAAGTGTTTGTACAGAAAGTTTATAACACAGAATATTCTGAGATTGACGTATTCATAATTTGTACTTAACCACCCAACATACCTGTCAAAGTGAACGATTCCTAACGTCAGCCAGCCCTTCTGATTATAGCGTGTGCGCCTCCCGTAGGTCACAGTTGCTAAGAGATCTGACAGCGGCTGCGTATTATTGACGCCGGAGTGTCTGGCAACCTCCTTGTTTCAAGCTCTTCCCAGCGTGACTGTCGTACGGGTTAGGGACAGTGCTTAAACGATTTGCATCATCAAAGTACCACAAGTGACACAGGACGCATACTGCTATTAGTTTCAGGAAGTGACGTCAGTAGAGCCTGTGTCCAAAAAACAAACAAATCGTGTGTCTAATTTCCTTGTATGTAGTGCCGCCTTATTTTCTGCTATCCAGCAATAATCGTGTGCTCATCTTTTCTTTCATTCTTATGTTGACTGTAGAAGCGTTTCAGTCTTCGAAGTATATTTTAGGAACGTTACGTCATTCGCTACAACAATGTATGTTGATAATATTTTCGAGTGTTTGATTCCGTTGCCTTGTAAACGATTTTGTAAGAGACTATCGTTTGAATGTACCCGTGCTTGAAGTAATTATAGAAGTTAAGTGTGAAACCGCCGTGGTGAAACAAATGCTTTTTAATTATATGTGATAGCAACGGGGTAATAATTACTTGATATTCTGTGGAGAAGTTCCTGGAGTATTAAATATCGGTGAGTAAAACGTTTAGATTGATGTCATATATTATGTCGGAGCTTACAAATCAGTTGCTGTAGTGTAATTGCTTTATATCTGTATGTCATTATGTGAGAAGTGTCTTATTCGCACCATGTAAATGTTTGTACCCCTGGTATGAAATAGTTAAACAGTCTTAGACAAAGGTGATTTACACACTTTTACATTTTCTTTAACAAAAAGAATAACTTCCGGGTTGTCCACACTATTGTATAATGGGGGGAGACAACTTTGAAACCTTATTTAGAATTTTTACAGAGAAGGGGGCTAACTTCCCTACTGTCCCCATTCTGTAAAAACCATTATGATAAACTCATTCAGCCTAATGTTGATGAGGAAAACACACAAACCTCATCAGTGGAAAAAAACACACACACCTGAGCAGAAGACTAGAGCGATTGGTTGCAGTCCTTTCTAGTTTTTAATATTGAATTTTCTACCTGAGAAAAAGACGTATCTTGCTATCTGTCTGTGAAGGCTTACCTATCTAGCTATCTGTTTGCAGTTTGTCACATTATATATATCTAACCAGATATAATCTCATACCTAATCATGTCCTTTAGGTATTTCTCATTGACCAGTTTGTCTCTTCTCAGATAGTTTGTTAGTTTAGTATATTGTTACGACAGCGGAAGTCACGCGACGCTGGAAGCATGCGCGCTGGAGTTCCTAGAAGGATCATGAATTTTTCTGGCAACTCTAGTTTGTTCGAGGCGCCCTCTTTTTCTAGTGTATAAGCCTGGCAAAGAAAGCCAGCGAGAATGG